GGATTGACAAGAAGTAAAATATGAACAAAAAATATACAATAACATAACTATAAATTTAAATCAAAACTTTAGAATAAGAAGGCATTTCTGATTAGCCAGTAGTTGTTTAGCACAGGGGACAAACGAGCTTATCTGACGGTAAGTGATTACCGCCACAACATCAAGAGGAATTGCAAGTGCGTTGCCGACCTTTTAAAAAGGAATAAGCTCTTTTCGTGACGGTTTCAATATCGTATCGGTTCGATTGTACGATTAATTACGAACGGTTGGCACCCCTGTCCGATACCGGAGCGCTAAATGTTTACAGTTGTATCTGTAAACAACATGTGGGTCTCTCCCAAAAACGTCGTGAGTACGGTGACCCAAGTGTTTACTGTTCGGAAAACATACATAAAAGATATCGTAATGAATTTTTAATTTTATAAACAAAACTGGCCACCTTGCTGGGTTAACATGGGTCCTTATCATTGATAAACTCCCTATTATACTTTATATAAATTATAATAGCCCAGTGATGAACTTATATAATAGAAATAGGAATTATTAAAATTACTTTGGTATATTTTGAGCTTCTCAATGAATAATGCTTTATTTGTACAACCACAAGATTACAACATTCCTGGACATATTAGATAGGACACACAAATATTTTCCTTTAAAAAGAGTGTGTCCACGGTATTCTTGCTCATTATTTCTATCTCTATTTAGAAACCTTGCAAATATTATATTATTTATATTTTTTGTAAATATATAAACCAATAAAAATATATACTTTAACTCTTAATAATTATAACGTATAATAGTTTTATACCAAGAGAAACTAACTGGTGGTAAAGATGAATATTACAAAAGTGACGATAATAACAGAAGATCAAGGAAAAAGGTGTATAATATATATATAAAAAATAGGAAATAAACAACAAAACAATAAAATAAAAAAGGTGGGTTATGCATTTAATAATATATATATATATATACATTTAATAATACAATTTTTTTTATTTATTTAAAACTGTTGATTTTGTACAGTAGGCAGGCTTTTTCATTATTAATTTATTTTGCAGAGATTGAACTAAGCCTATTAGAAAATGAGGAAATGTGCTAAACCGCTAGACCACTGAGATCGTGAAAACTATTTCCAATAAGTGGCATAGTGGTTCACTATGTCGTATCACAGGACAGATGTGATGTGATCAATTTCGGTCAAAACAAAAAATCGTGTTAATTTCAAAACACCGTTATTAATTAATAATTAATTTTTATGACCCGTGTTCTAAACTTCTTGATTGAAATATAGTAAATCAAATTAAACTATCGCTAAATATCGAGCTCTACTATCTCCTAAAATATTCATATCATGAGGTTAAGATTTTTTTGTTCTTATTTTAAGAACTCAAAAAATACTTGACCATAAACTCTTTTACCTACAGAAAGCTATCTTCTTCTTCTTAAGAATTATACAACTCATGCTTGTGTCACAATGATTTCTTAATCTTGCGATGGTCCCGTTGATCTAGCGATTTAGTACACCGCCTTATTTCCGATGGTCACGGGTTCGATTCCTCGCACGGTACAGACATTTGTATTAATGAGTATAATTGTTGATATCGGTCTGGGTGTTTTCTATATATATTATGTGTGTATTTACAAAAAACTATATATCTATCTATTTTTACCAGTTATCTACTATCCATAACACAAGTTCTGTTTAGCTAGGGACTAGATGGCGCTGTGTGAATTGTCTTGCGATATTATTCTTATTGTCTATACTCGGAAGATAATCGCCGTGAACTAAAACTAGTGCAAAAATGACTTGAACGTATTTCAACCCAGTTTCAGAACGTATCCTAACCGCAATGGAACTATAAAATAAAGTGAGTATTGAAAGGAAAAGTTAAGTAAAAATGATAAAAAAATGATCATTTATATTTTTGTCATAATAAATAAACATTAGTGTTAAAAGGAATAAGCCTCGTAGCAGTTACGGTTTTATGGGCGACGCCACCTGAATAATAATGAGCTCTACCAAAAATATTCTCCGTAATAGGATCGTGTTCGTATATTTCGCTAAGCTTTGCTAAATAAATTACATTTGTATTAGAAAGACTATTTTTGGGATCGTAGATTACCAACTTTGTATACTTAACGTTTTTTTCTCTTTATTCATTTAGGGCTTAAGATCACAATACTAAGTATTTTAGCTCCGTCATAGGTACTTAAAGTTAAATAATACAACTTCCACTTGTAATCTCCTTTCCACATATATATATATATATATATATTACGTACCTATCTCACATATGTCTAAGAAAATGTATAATCTATACAAGTAAATGAAATTTAAGTGTAATTTCAAATTAACATATTTGCACTAAATGTATATAAGAATATACGGTACTTACAATAAAAATTACCTTTCAATATTTTTTGTCTCTCTGTCTGTTTGTACTTGCTAATGTCTTACACGATTGGATATTATAAGGAGTAACTTAGGCTTACTAACTTTGTCTTAGACTTTTTATTTAGATAACAAGTAATACTCTACATATAGAGTGTAACTCAGTTCTTAATATTTTCAGTGATTAAATATGAAATATGATCTAACGATTTCAACAATTAAAAAACATGAAATGTTTTTGTAGTTGTCTTAATTACTAAATAAATTAATATTTACAATTATAATTAACATATAATTCATTCACCGCATGTATAGAATGACTCGACATAATAAGAATATTAAATGTACGTTAATACTGAATTAAGTTAAGCCATATTGAAAAATATGACAAAACAGATCAAAAACAAAATGTAAGTATCATATTTATCATATTATGTAGGCATCATATTTTCACAAACATTTTGACTCTAAATTGAATATAATTGCAAAAAGATATATATATATTAATACGTAAAGCCAAAACTTTACACCTTTTTACGAACATTCCACGGATAGGGAAGTATGAAATTTCGCACACTTATAATTTATACATAGAGCTAATATTTTTTTTTTAATATACCATAAAAAATATTATACACACTACTACACATATATTTAATACACAAACTCTTTTGATTATTTTTAAAATCTGTGGTCATATTGAGAAATGATAAATATTGTTAGACTTTAATATTATTCTATAATAGTAAGTCTTACTATTAAATTATTTATGGTCGAATTTCAACCACTCGACGACTACTAGTTTAAATAAATAATAAATTAATCTTTATTTAAATCTATATTAAATTTTGTTTTATTCTTGAGAATACAAAATTTAAACTACATAATGAGGTGAACTTCCTCATCTAAAATTATATATAGATACACCACAATAATTATTTTAACTCGTAAAAAATTTATTCATATATGCTATATACAAGCATAGAGTAGATGTGTATAGGTATATAATTCTTATAGAGCAAACACGTGCTATTTATTTATAGATCATGTTGGTATCTGACGTTAATGTGATTCATATATATGAGCGACTAATTACAGTTATAGAGAACATTAAATGGCAAACCGTTTGAGTTGCTATACGAATTATGATTTTTCAACTATTATTATTAATTTTAATTTCAACAATTAGTCTTACTATTAATACATATAATCACAAAAAACAATAATTGTAATTAGTGTATCCAGACGTCCCGTATTTCCCGGGACGTCCCGTATTTTAGGCTTTGTTTAAAGTATCCCGGCGGGACTGACTCTGTCCCGTATTAAAACCGTACTCCGTTTTTTATTATTAAATCGATCAATCATCGAATCGAATCACACACGCAACGTTTGTACCCCTAATTTAATAAAAAGTTAGTTATTGGCCGTTTTTAATAACGATTATAATTGTATTGATTTTTATAAATATGTTAAAACCAATAAAAATATGTAAAAGACTTGCTCCTCAGAAAATATAAAAAAAAAATAAAGAATGTCACTGTATAATTTTGTTTTTATTTATCCCAGGTAAAAAGCTAAATTCCCATATTTTTTTGCCTATTTAAGCATTTGCCCCTTATAGGTTGTAAAAAAATCTGGCAACCCTAATTGTAATCCAACGCGGCACATCGAGGCAAACACCCAAGATACTGGCAGCGTTGCCTCTTTGAATGGTCATACGTTAGCCTTTGTTTTAAGTAACAATTTTAATTACTAGTATTAATATTATTACTAAAAACTTAAGTGTAGCTAACGCTCAACCATATGGTACGAAACATTCCTTCGGCAGCTTAATATAATTACAGTAATTAGTGGTTAACGTCGCTAAAAATTATTACAAAATAGCATTAAGCATGATGTACAATGTGTAACTGTTTGTAGACCTAAATACATAAAAAAAACAAAGGTTTAAACGTTTGGTGTCAGAATGCATACCGCACTCAAAACAATAAGATCGCACTGACTAGAAAGAATAGACAATGCTTTATTTGTTGACTGTTGTTTGGTATTTAGTTATAGTTTAGTAATGATTTTAATTTAAGTGGTATTTTATTCATCTCTTCGACCGTGAATACCATAAGTATACGACTTTTTTTATAATACGATTGTGGCAAACAAGCACACAGTTCATCTGATGGTAAATGGTTACCTTAGACTATGGACGCCTGAGACAACAGTGGTGTCACACGCGTTGCCAACCCTTAAGAAACCTAAATATATCCTTCTTGAAAAACCCCTTTATAACTCTTGACAATTTACACAGCCTCTTCTAGTCTCAAGTCAAACAGTTATGGGTATTAGACAATTGATACAAATGTTTAAAAACATTTTTTTCTGTAAATACATACATAATATAGCAAACACCCAGATCGATACAAACAATCATAATCATGAATACAAATGCACCGTGCAAGAAATCGATCCCGCGACTATTGGAAGTAAAGCGATGTACTAAACCGCTAAACCACCGCGGCTCTCAAAAGACAACGTACACGCGTCAAAAAGACAATGTATATCTCGGTAAATGCACTTTTTATACTCGTAAATCTTTAAGAACACCAACCTTGGTACAGAACATGCAGCCGCATGCAGCGATGACGGTCACTTTATCGGCCGTAGCATCTTCTAGACACAGCTTGCAGTTGATGGGTGCTGCTGGCACGAAGCCTCCACCGGCGCCGTCCAGGGAGTACCTGGTCCGTGATAGAACTACAGCTGTTAATAGAACCTAAAACTTGCTAATTTTTTATTAATAACTATCTGACCCGTGCAACATCGTCTGCAGTCAGAAAGGCTCGCAGATGGGATAAAACATGACAAGTCCTCAGAAAATGGTATTAAAATCACTTAAGCTGTTTCCAAGATTAGCATACAAAAAATCTATGAACACATTTTTGACTTCACTAACATGAGTGCAACATATAAATTATTATTTTTTATAATCGATTATGTATGGAATTTGAGGTGTTTTAAAAAAAAAAAAATCTAATATAAAAGTAGCGTAAGTTAATCCTTATAAAATAAGAAAAGCTATCTGCGAGTGAAAGTGACGGGAAAGTGACGGGAAATTTCCCGTCAGAATCAATCACTGATTCTGACGGGAAATTTCCCGTTTCAAAATTAGCAAGAACAAACAGACGGACGGTGAAGATAATTTTTTTTTTAATTATTTTATAATGTTGTTTTAAATTATACATGAAAGCATATGTGATCCACATATGCTTTCATATATAATTTGAAACTACAAACAAACACTTCAATTGTATTTATTTTCTATAGATGTAGAGACGCCATGCCTCTCGTCTCGTCTCGTTTACAATTTATTACAATATGTATAATTTCTATGAAATGTTATTTCTTTAACCTCCTACCAAAATAGTCTTTTATCAAATAAACTTAGTACAAGCACTTTTCCATCATATTTTTTTATTCTACCACTCATTCGAAACGCAGACTCGTCACAAGAAGAATGAGCCCGAAAATTACGTGTTGCTCTTATAAATAATTGTTATTGTATTCACAATTACATTTTCAAGAATTTGTAATTGAAGTATCAACGCTGACTGACTTAACTGTTCAAACAGTTTTTTATATGCGAAACAAATCATGGAAGAGTGTAGCCTCAGCATTTTCTTACATACTTTCTTTCCTCACATATGTATGTATGTTTACAGGTTTTATTAGTGCTGTATAGATTTTATTATAAATGTGGACGGTTATAAGGGAAGAAGGCCGAAAAAGAGATGGATGGACTGTGTGAAATATGATATAGTAAGAAAGGGAATAAATAACGAGATAACTGCGAACAGGGATGAATGGAAGAGAAAAACATATTATCGGTCGGTGATGGTCGGTGACCTCAAATAATTGGGATATGGAAGAAGCAGATGATGATAATGCTGTGTATGTTTTAATATACCTGGAACCACCAGCGCCGGCCAAGGACAGCAGCGATGAGCATCGGGAGCAGACGGAAGGTGCCCGGAGGCGGTTGTGGGGCCTAATAGGCTCAGAAGTCTTCTCGCGGTCAGTCAACGCGAGTACCGTGGAACACTTCCTGAGGCCTGCCAAGAAGAGTTTAAGAATTAAATCAAGAAGAATCTTGATGTACAATAAAAAATTGACAAAACGCAATATAGTTCTATTTTGACCGCGGTAGGTTTTTTACAAAGATGTGTGGGTATTTCATTACACTTATGTGAACCAAAAACTTTGTACCCCTTCTTATGAAAGTTACGCGGATGGAAGAGTATGAAATTTTAGTTACACACATAGTTTACTAGCTGTGTTTGCGGTTTCACCCGCGTGAAATGTATAGCCTATATGTTATTCTGATGTATAAGCTATATTACTATAAAGTTTCATCAAAATCCGTTCAGTAGTTTTTGCGTGAAAGAGTATCCATCCATACTCATAAACTTCCGTGTATATAATATTACTATAATATGATATAGAGAAGGAGTGTACTATGCTATTTTTAATTATGTATAAAATATACATTAAAACAATAAAAAAATATATTACACACCCTACTATGTAGCTCACATATACACGCATATATAATCTTTTGTTTTATTGTTATTGCTGGTTCAAAGATCTTTTTATTATTTTTATTATGGTGGAAATTTGACCAGGGCGATAGCTATTATTAATAATATTAGTGCAAATAAATTGTAATGAAGCATTTTGAAAGTTTTTACCACAAAATTACTCTAAAGTTAAAGGTATCTAAACATCATTAAAAAATTATACTCATTAATTAAATGTATATTACATGTATTGATTAAATATAAGTATGTACATCTGAGTGACTAATTTACTTCAATATATCAGAACAATTCAAGCAGCGCAATCTACTCTCGTATTAAGCAGAACTTGTGTGATATAAATACATAGATACATTTGTTTTTGTAAATACATATATAACATACATAGAAAACACTCAGACCTATTGAAACAATCATACTCATGAATACAAATGTTTGTACCGTGCGAGGAATCGAACAATCGTCGCCATTCGGTAATGTATGTAATAAATGTTATTCTATTCTAATTAATTAAAAAAAACATCATCATTTCAAAATCCTCAGAGGAGGGAATATCATTCTGTAAATATAAACACAATTCTAAACTTTCCCAAATTGATAGCTATGGTATATAGCTACGTTGGTAGTATAATCTGTGGGAGGTTCTCGACTAAAATTCTATATTAATGGAAACTCGGGCTCTGGCCCCAATGGGGCAGCGAAATAGGATATGGACCTTACTTATTCAGCACAGTTGGAAAACTCGGGAAATTTCTAACAAGATCCGTATGCGAGGTAATATAATTACATATATGCATTTTTTATTTGGTACCATCGGTAAACGAATCTATAACTAGTACTAGGCGTCGCCCAATCGAAATTAGACTATAATTAACTTAACATTCAGCAAGACTATACACAACATTAAAGACAAACAATTAATCTATTGTGAATTTGACCGCAGACTTGTGACAATGTGTGTAATGTTTTTTATTGATTCATTGTATTCTTCTATCTAATGAAAATAATAAGTGTTCTGAACTTTTCAATGTATTTTAATGCATTATGCTACCTATATAAACTATAACTGTGCAAAATTTCATACTCCGTCCGCGTAATTTTCGTAAAAATAGGTACAAAGGTTTTGCTTTACGTATTACATAATGATTATTAACTATATATACCTATAATAATATTTAATGAGGAAAACAAACCTAATACATATAAAGTAACTAATCATACATTCACCACTGTGTGTTGTAACCCGTTAGCGACACAAAGTTAGGGTATTAACATGATAGTACCTACCCTATTTGATAAATAAAAAAATATATCTGTACAAGAAGCTTTTATTACCTTCTAACAATGGCTGTGGTTGCGACAGTACGGAGTCCCTTGAAGCGGCTCTTCGTACCGGCTTGGTAGGCCTCGCTAGCGACTTGAGTCCACCGCTCAGGATCAGCTCTAGGGCTCTACGACCGCCTGGCCCATTCGCGCCCGCTCCCATCTGGTGAACAAAAGAAATATTACGTTAATTTATTATTTTATTACAGGAATATTGCACAATGCAATGCTAAGAGCTCTTAAAACAATAAGTAATATGAATAAGTAGAGTAAATTGTATAATATTTATAAATAAAAAAAAATTAAGAATACACATACAGGAACAAACCGGCCAAAAGCATGTTGCCACAGAGAAATCAACAGCTATTACTTCACTATATAAAACAAATGCTAAATATTCTAGCGCAATGGAAATTATTAGTACCTAATGTGGACTAATGACCATGGCTAGCAATGTACCAAATCAGATTAACCTCTACAAGGTTCCCCCTGGAAACTATCATGATATATTCCTAATAATGTAGTCAAGATAGGCTATCTGACCTGAACATGTTCATCTTAACATCCTCCACTAGTGACCCGCCTAGGTAAACCGTTAGCGCAATCCTGTGCACCATTCCATTAAAAAAGCTAAGCATCTTTTTGCTATCCGGCAGTTTCTCGATGTAATTATAAAGGTAAACAAGCTATCGTCGCCTTTAAACATGAATATTACTGACTTCACATTAACATTTAAAACTAGTGATACTGTTGTCTTGTCATTCTAGCGGACTAAGATGTCATGCCTGGTATACTGTAATTTCACTGCTTAATCTGCAACCTAAACAGTGCACAAAGCAAGCTGCTTGGTGTCTTAAGTAGGTAAGACTGGAGTGCCCACGCAGACGACTCCTTACCGTCTGCCTCTGGTAGTATCAGTATCATCGTAGGTAGGAATAACATCTCAGTCCTTAAGATTGATAACACAGGGGAGTTACCACAGATATCACTGTATTCTTTAACATCCATAGTGGTATTCATGTTTATGGCTGACAATTACCGCTTTCCATCAGATGCGCCGACAGCTTTTTCCATTCCGGCCGTATAAAATATAATTAGCTACATTAGATATTCCTTGCCAACTCGTTATCTCTAAAAAAAACTTATACCTATTCAAAAATTCAAGTTTCTAAAACCAACCAGTTATAAATAAATTTGCTATCACACAAGCCATTATTATAACGAGGTTAAATTGTTATTTGCGATATTCGATCAGAATATAATAAGGTGAATAAAAAAAAATACAAAATATAAGTCGTTCTAGGTATTTAAATACTTTAATGTCAATACTATCTGACCCTTTTAATATTGTTCTGTAATATAAATTAATATCGCTAAAAATTGGGGTTGTTGGTAGAAGGCTGAAAGTTTATGGTTGTAGGTATTATTTAATTAGGAATCAAAAAATTTGGTGGTAAAATTCAATATAATAATTTTGTAGGAGACTACATTTATTACTTAGGGGTATGAAAAATTGTTTAGGTACGTCTTTTCAGATCTATAAACACATTTCATAAGAATCCATCGGTCAAACAGTTACGGAGAAATTTAATTAAAAACACTGTGATGCGAGTATTTTAAATATCAGATGTATCAATATACAATGAAAAATTACGTTACAGCAACACTGGTTTATGAATACAATGGTAAATAACACGATCAAAAGTCAGTTTAAATACTTAAATTTTGCATAAAAAACTATATATACATTTATATATATTTTCTGGTTTTTCGAAACGCCAAACTGGACCTTGAAATTCCAACTAACATGAATTTAATTACTGGTTTATAATTATAAGGTGACCAGTAATAAAAAAAAAGTTACTATACGTGTGTGTTATAACCATAATTTATTGCTGACCGTATAATTAACGGTTCCAAGAACGATTGTCAGCAAATTTAGACTATTGTTTGCGACAATGAAACTCTGTTTGCCATCTGGTCGCTGATTTGGCATTTCACCATGAGATGACGGATAAGAGCAGACACACTACCAGCTACCACTACTTCCGTACCGACATCGACCGGTGAGTCTTAAGATACAGTAGATACAGTTTAATTGGCTTTAAAATTAACTTCTGTAGCAGCATTAACGGGACTTAGACATATTTATATTAAAACTAGCTGACTCCGCAAACGTTGTTTTGCTATGTAAATTAAAATCGCTATTAAAACATAGGGGTTGGTGATAGAAGAGCGAAAATTTAGGGTTGTATGTATTTTTTAATGCCACATTAAAAAAATTAGATAGTAGCTGACTACTGCATATGCATATAAAAATCGGTCAAGCCTTTTCGTAAGAGTATGATAACTAACATTGTGACACGAGAATTTTATATATTTATAAGACATTAAGCGTAATTTAGTAAATTAAATTTATTAAAAACATTTTGTTTTTAATGCTCTGGCTGCCATACACGTAATTTGTATAAATAATGTAGACGTTGTAAGATGGAATCAACATCAACACCTTGGCCTTGTTCCCAAAAAACAATTGGTTTTTCGGTTCAATGTATTTTTTAATTAGTACGATTATAGACATCTGTACACATCTCTACTGTTACAGTTAACCATTCTACTACTATTACATAGATTAAGCTACAGTTAAAATGAATATATAAGATACTCGAGAAATAGAGATAGTCTGTTTTGGTTTATTAAAAAGATATTATTAATGTCTCATGAAATATAGTAATTTATATTTAAACTATTAATGCTCAGATTTAATACTATACGCAAATATTTTTAATATTTAAGTACTTTAAAGATTTATATATGCTGAAGTCGAAAATAAAGTAACATAAAATCCTATTAACTCTATAATACTATAAATACTAAATCTTGTCTTACACTGTAATAAAACATAATTACTATTATTTTGTTAAAATGGAGATTTAAATAACCCAATTATTTTACTTTACTGTAATATTTTGAAACATTGAAATAATTACACAAATATGTATATATGGAGATATATTTATCTACATATAATATATTCAAGAAAGGAATAAGGCAAGAAATTTTTAATTTAAATGATTTTGTTTAATTCCTCTATCATTAACATGTGTGAGATCACAAATATTATGTGAATTATAAACCTGACCACCACTACTGGAAGCGTCATGACCTCCCATTACTTATCAAATTCCCTCCCATTACTTATCAAATTCCGACCGTTATTGGATCTACAACAATATTGCGACACGCGCCTTGCCTCTGGATGAGGCATCATCAGGCAAATAATCTAGTGAGTGCTCGGTCCTAGCTTGGAAGCCTAATGTTGAGTGTTGGGTGACCAAACTACAAACAGTGATTAGCGATCAGTAACGATTGCAGGTTTCCTGACTTACAATTTATGGTCTCACACATGCTAATAAAATAAAATAGAAAATTCAAATAAATTTACATTGAAGCACTTTTGAATAATCATCACAATCTACCGCTCATTCGGAAATCTGTCTCATCACAAGAAGAACGAGCAAGAAACTTGCGTGTTGCTCTTTTAGCAATAATAGTAGCGGAATAAACAAAATAATAGTCCATAAAGTAATGAAATGGACTTCCCCAAAATAACACCAATTTCTATAAAATACAGATAGATATCTCAGTGTGTTCGAACTGACAAATACAATACATCGAATTGTATTTGGCACAACAAACTGACGAATAAACCATACGCCTGATGCATATAAATGAACTGTTCGTCGTCTGTCTTGCTTCATACCTCGCATATACATATGTATATTAGATGAGTTTTTAGGAACAGAATTCGTGCAGGCTATTACAGAAACAGATCTTACGTCATATATTGAAAGATAATATTTTATGCGACAAGATAAATATAAATTATATAAATTTTATTTAATAAATCCCTTATCTAGAACAATTTAATTTTAAAATAGTGAAATATACTTTCTAATAGGTGTATTGGTGATGAAACTTCTGACATACTTATATACAAATTCGCACTATTTCAACAATTGTACAGTGAACACAAATGTTGAAATAGTACTTTTATACAATTACAATATTGTATAATGATACAATATTGTAAATGTATAAAAGCAATCTACTACAATGGATTTGCTATTGATTTGCTATTGAAAATTGAATATTGCTATTAAATTAACAAGAGAGTAAAATTATAAATTGCAAATCATTTGGATTTGTTTCCGTCCCGAATAGCAAAAACAATTAAAAAATGTCATAAAAATTATGAAAGTGAATTTTACAGTATATTTTGAATGAATCTTTCATGATCTCTATAAAGAATTGATTGACTTCAAGGAATATATTTATATATATTTCATCGAATTAGGAGTTATTTTGCGGAAGTCCATTATCATTAATTTAAACAATAAACAAGGAATTAAACAAAGTAATACAAATCCATTAACTGATACTCTTCTATTAAATCTTTGCTTGATCAATTAGTACATAAAACATACAAAGGGCAATGGACATGGCAAAATATAAAATAACCTTAAACTTTACAAAAATGCAAAAAAGACAAGAATTTGATTGATTAGACACTTGGCAGTTATTGATAGTGAATGATCTATGCAAAAATACTACTATGATTACAACGGTAATCTCATAATCCACACGAAAATAAAATCACTAATCTCGTGATAGCGATTCGTATATAATAATATAACTCCTTATCGTACACATAGAAATATTTACAAAAAAACTACTTTACGTAACAGTTGCTGACCCCGCAAACGTTGTTTTGTTATATAAATTAAAATCGCTATTAAAAAATAGGGGTTGGTGATAGAAGGGTGAAAATTTAGGGTTGTATGTACTTTTAATGCCACATTATAAAAAAATAAAAAATGCTCAAAAATTAAAAAGTATGTTAGGTGTGGGGACAACCCATATCACTTAGGGTTATGAAAAATAGATAGTAACCGATTCTAAGACTTACTGAATATGCATATAAAATTTAATAAAAATCTGTTTCGGAGGAGTATGTATGTGAGTATAACATTGTGACACGAGAATTTTATATATAAGAAGATACTCTCTCCCTCTGTGTCCTCTTGTCGGTTGTTATTATTTCAGGTGGAAAGGTCATACTCAGTATATCTAAAGTATCTATACTTTCTTGTGGATGGAAAA